GAAGAGGAAGAGGAAGAAAAAGAAGAGGAAGAAGGAAGAGGATGAGGATTTATTTAATGTATACAAGTGCTCTATCTGCATGTACGCCTGCACACCAGAAGAGGGCATCCCATCTCACTACAAATGGTTGTGAGCCACCATGTGGTTGCTGGAAATTGAAATCAGGACTCTTGTAAGAGCAGCCAGTGCTCTTAATCTCTGAGCCATCTCTCCAGCCTATGACATCACTTTCTTACTGGTAAGATTTCCTCCTGTAAGCTGGAAGTTGTGCCTTCCCGTGGAAGGTGTGGGATGTTATTTTCATTTGATTTGTTTTGGTTGCCACTGATCCTCATACTGATCAGAAGCAGCCAGGGGCTGCAGCGTTGGGTAGAAGGTAGAGAAACTGGCTGACAGGGGCCATTTGAGAGTGTGTGTGTAGGGGCTTGGAGGCCGGAAACCCACTGCAGGACTGGTACCTTCCTTCCTGGATTTGACTTCTCTGCTCTGGGAGGGCTTTGTGGGACATCATGGCTTCTGTCTTCTCCACCTCTCTCAGATCACAAGCCCAGAAACCTTCCAGTTCCATAGCAAATATACTCTGCTTCACATGTCAGGAAAAATCTAGAACTTATATAGTGATAAGAAATCCTTGCTGCTTCCCTGTGTCTCTTTACCTCTTTTCTCTTCACTTCTCCCTCCCTCCCCTTTTTAAAAAACTTCTCATCAAGCTCAAAAAAAAAAAAAAGAGAGAAAGAAAAGAAAGAAATCCTTGCTGTTGATCACATTTTTTCTTATTTATTCTTTAATTTTGAGAGAGGTTCTTTCTATGTAGCCCTGGCTGGCTTATAGCTTACAGAAATCCTTCTGCCTCCGTTTCTCTAATCCTGGAATTGAAGGTGTTCATCACCACACTGAGAAATCTTTAAAAAATAAAAGGTTTATTTTTAATTATGTGTATGTATGTGTCTATATGTAGGTGTGTGTAAAGGTACCCACAGAGGCCAGAAGAGGCCATTGGATCCCCTGAAGCTGGAATAAGAGGTGTTTGTGAGCCATCCAACATGAACTTGCTGGGGGCAGAATTCATGTCCTCTGCAAGAACAGTGGCCACCTTTAGCTGCTGAGCCATCTTGCCAGGCCCTCCTTTCATTGGTTTATTGTTTGTTTTGTTTTTCAAGACAGGTTTTCTCTGTGTAGCTTTGGCTGTCTTGGAACTTGCTCTGTAGACCAGGCTGGCCTCAAACACACAGAGATCTGCCTGTCTGTTTCTGCCTTCCAAGTACTGGAATTGAAGGTGTGTGCCTCTATGCCCTGCTCCATTTTTTAAAATATTTATTTCATATGTTTGAATGTTTTGCCCAAGTATGTCTGTGCACCACATATGGCTTGGTGCCCTTGGAGGCCAGAAGAGGGCATCAGATCCCCTGAAATTGGAGTTATAAATGGTTGAGTCACCATGCTGGTACTGGGGATTGAACCCAGGTCCTTTGCAAAAGCACTAAGTGCTCTAAACCACCAAACCATTTCTCTGGCCCTGTTTTTGTGTGTGCATTTTTCACCTTTAACTTTATTTATGGGTTGGAGAGATGTCTAAGTGGTTAACAGCACTCACTGCACTCATAGAAAACCTGAGTTTGGTTCCTAGGACTGATATGGTAACTCATAGCCCTCTGTAACTCCAGTTTCAAGGGATCAGACACCCTCTTCTGAAGGTGTCTGGATTCACCTTCAGAAGGAA